GGGAAGCCAGAGGTCAGCAGAGTACACTGATGTGTGCAAGATCACCAGTGTATACAGAGCAGAGCAGGACTTAGGACCCCAGAGTCTCAGTTCCTGAGGCAGGGTGAGCCAGGGCTGGCAATGCACTTACGTGCCACTCTGCACCCGCACAGATGACACCTTCTCCTGGTAGCCGTGGGCGTGGAAGCTGGGTACGTCGTCATCTATGATTTCCATCTTCTTCCCGGTGAAGTTGGGGTTTTCATAGAGGATGATCTTGTGCTCTTGGCTGTCCTATTGGCAGAGGATGTGGGGAAGTGAGTATGGGTGACGGGGCCCAGGGTTGGCCTTCCCACCCCATGCTCATGACCCAGAGTTGGGATCCGCATGTCCCACACATCACTCTCTGCCCAGTGCACCCACCACGTGTCTATGACAACTGCTGTTGGATCGCAGCCATTTGTTAAGTTTCTACTGGGCCATTTTCATGTAACAGACACACTGCAACACTTTGGGGAATATTTGATTCTGAAATGTCATTTTTTCCTCCTATGCCTCAAGTTTCTCTTTTATAAATGGCAGCTACGATCTACCACCCACTCACAAGTGCACACCCACACATGCACACACAGGCACACACACAGTGGCACACTCACAGGCATACACACACAGGCACATACATACACACACGCACACACACAGGCACACACACACATGCACACCCACACATGTGTGCACACACAGGCGCACACACACATGCACACACACGTGCACACACATGCACACATACACACACACAGGCAGACACAAACACACATGCACAGGCTAATTGTGCCTCTAATAGGCACCTGAGATATTTTGATTTTTCTTCATTTCTACATCTCTTCCCATCCTCCTGTTCCTGTAACATTTTCCTTAATTATCTAATCCTTTAAACATTTTCAGTTTAAGATAAGATTTTCAGATAAGAAAACCCTTATCCCTTAGACATAAAATCCTTTTATGCCATTTGGCAGATGAGAAAAATGAGGCACAGAGAAGTCAAATGACGTGCTCAAGGTCACAGAGCTGGGAGCAGCACAGCCAACATGGAAACCTGGGTCTGTGGGGTGTGAAGTCCAGTGTTCTCCAACCTTCCAGTAGGTCCTGGGAGGAGCTAGACTGGGCTTGGAGGGTTTGGGAGTGTAACTGAGCAGTGATGGGCCCTGTCCCCTCCCCGACAGTTTACACACTCACACACTAGTAAGAATCAGGATCTCAGAAGCACTGAAAACTCACACTGGCATGAGTCTTGAAGAAGAGCTAAACCACCTTCTCCTCCAGTCCTGAACTCAGAATTTCTTGTATTTCTGATGGCTATTGATTATTGAGCA